CCCCAAAACCCCAAAACCCCAAAACCCCATGGAAGAAAATGCAAACATAATTAGTAAAAAAATATGTTAATTAAATCGACAGTGAATAAAGTTTAAAAAATATACTTGTATTTGAGAAAGTATAAGATTGGGTAGAGAGCCTATAATTATTCTTAAAAACTACTTAATAAAAATATATTGATATCACATAGATGCCGATCCTCAAGAGCTTGAAAACATTAATACGAAACTAGGACTCCTATGGATCCAAGGTCAATCTTCTTTATAAGAGTAAGAAAAGGTATCAAAGTATGATTGGAGGTTTACTCTCGATCGTAAGTAGACTTTGTATAATTTGTTTCATCGTTATTTTACTGCGGAAAATGATTTCAAGACATAACCAGCTTCACTCCTATAAAAAATTTTAGGATCAAAGTGAAAATTCTCAAATCTAACTAACTGATTAGATAAACTTAGATATTGCAGTTTCCATTCAAATTAGTGATGAGAAAATATAAAAAGATTTAAAAACTTAAATGAGCTGATACATAAATTTAATTTTTGAAGAATATGAGACAAATTTTAATAATATACCCTATAACATGACAAACTATACACATCAATCAATCTTGTTTACCTAGGAGATCTGCAAAAATTAGAGAATTCAAGCATTAAATGATGTAGGTGCTCAAAATATAAACACAGTTTAATACTGTCCCTTGACTTCAAATGAAATAAAAATTTATGGAAATTTTAATCAACATTAATCAAGGATGATTAGAATTCGAGTAACATAATGTGATAATAAAACAAATACTTTGAAAAATTGTCATTCTTAAGAAACTATTAATTAAGCTTTAAGCTAAGCAACTTTCATAATTACCTATGTAAATAAATTTATTGATCCTAATGCAAGTAGAGACAGAGCTATTTAAGAAAACATTAAATATTTTACTCAAGATTATAACTACCTTAAAAGCCAAGAAAACATTTTATTTTTAAGTATAGAAAAAAATAGGCTATTTAATTCCGATAGTTATTTAGCATCCTCTTTTTTAGACGATTACAAAGAATACTATATGCTTAAGAGAAAATAGTATGATTATGGGATTTATAAACCAAAAAATACTGACATGTTTTAAATTATAATTTAATAATCAGATTAAATGACTATCCATTATATAGAATCTTTTACTGCTATAGACTTTTTAATTTAATGTGGAGCTTTTTCTTACGTGATTTTTTATTTAGGCTCTATAATTTCTAGTATATATGCCTAAACATTTTATTACCAATCATTACTAAGGAATTTGTTTAAATTAGAAACTTCAAAAAATTATGATAATATGGCAAAGGTTCTTGAAGGATAATCATATAGATCTAATGAAGGTGACTAAAACGACATCACTTTCAAAAGTTTTTTTAGATCTTCGTTAGATAGAGTTCAAATTTTAGGGATGATAAATAACAGAGTTAAACCTTATTTTGACACTTTCCTCCTTATCTTTAGATTTATTTGCTGCAAGTCAGACTTCTCTAAATACTAAATTAACCTTTTTGATAAAGGAGTTAAAAAACTAGAGAAGGAAATAGATATCGTTAAATTAGTAAAATCAATAAGGAAGATTAAGTTAATATAGAGACTTCTATTCAAATGATATTAAATAATTTTGTAAAAGCAAAGCCTTTCAGGAGTTCTGTTTGATTAGAATCCTAAATTCTTTAAGAAAGCTGATATGTCTATAAGTTCTGCGGTTGAAAGACTATTAAATGGTCAATAGTTAAAGTATAATAAGAGAATTTTATGTGAAATAATTGGAAAAGAAATGACTCTATAATATAATTTATACCCTAGAAGGAATAGCGTTTACTAAGAGAATAATGGTGGTGGTCGAATAATTGTAACTAACAATGCTGATTTAGAAAGATCTAAATCTTTTATTGATAAAAATGCTCTAAGTGTTGAGACTATGACAAAAAAGACATCAAGCAATAGAGAACTTATATCACCTCCATATTATTTACAAGAGACCACTCCAAGAACATAACCTATTCGAAAGAAAACAGGAGCATTAAAAAGAATGTCAACTCATAAATTTGAATGCACCCCTGTAAGATAATTTGACTTAAATACCAATGAACTAAGCAATATTTAAGAGAAATTCTCAGATGAAAATGATTCCAGAATAAAATCTCAGAAAAAGAAAAGCTAAATTATTGTATCCAATTTTAGCCTTTTAAAAACAAGCAATAAGAAAAAGAAAAGCAATATTATTTTTAACAAATGATTTAAGATTTTTTAAGTAATTTTTCAAAATTTGATAAAACTATGTTATGGGGTTTTGGGGTTTTGGGGTTTTGGGG